CCGTTGCCACCACATCTTAGTTTTTCAAAATGTGGCTGTGGCTCTTGATCGCAAAATGCAGACTTTTAAGTCTGTGTGCTCAAGCGTTTGTATACATCAACATCAACGTAAAGTCTACTAGACTGGAGCCCCTAAGAACAACATTAGCTTACCAACGTGATGCCTTCATCGTTCTTCTGATTCACAGTTCCTCCGCTGGATAAGAGATGTCTGACATCCCCAAGCATTGCTGTAGCTTTCTGCGTTTTCATCTGGCACAGAGAATTTAGTTCCACACCTATGGAAAACATTTTAAAAAGAGAACTATGAATTAATTTTCTTTTTGACAAAACGGTATCATGCTCATGGCAAGCTGGCTGGCCTCTGTGTGGATAATGAAAGCAGTCAAAACTGAGCCTTACACAGTACCTGATAGTGACAGCGAGAATGATTTATGCTCAGTTTTGGAAGACGGAAAAGGTACCAGAGGTTGAAGAATGGATACAAAAAGTTCTGTTCATGGCACAAATGGATAAGATTACAAAAAAACTGAATAACAAAGAAGACGATGAGTTTTTTGGAGAATGGAATGACTTTAAAATTTATCTGGAAAAGAACTGGGATGTGAAACAAAACTTAATATGTTTAGATCAATATTAAGTCAAATGATGTTATCTTTAGATTGTAATGATGAGAAACTGATATTGTTGATGATATGAAGTAATTTGGAGCAGGGGTGGAAGCATTGTGGGAAGCCATTGGAGGGAGGGGACGAACTGGGAATGGGGTAGACAATTGATAGAATGAAATGTTTTATATGTTGTATTCCTGAGAAAATAAAAATTTGTTTACCAAAAAAAAAAGATAATGAAAGCAGTCAAAACTGAGCCTCACACAGTCAGGGTAGAGGTCTCTAAATACTTGGGGAACTCGACAGGAAGGTGTCAAAATAAGAATTTTAAAATTGGCCAGGAGGGGGACTTTAAAAACCAGCCAGAAGAGAAAGGAAAATAAAGGGGAAAGGGGAGAAATCAGCCTGATCAACCCCTTGAGAGTTTAGTGAATCCTGGAAAGGGATATTTTGAGAGGTTGGATAAGATTTTCATATTTGTGTCTCATGCCTGCCAATACCTTCTGGGCCCCAAAACTTGGTGGCCTATGTCAATGAATATGACAATAAATAAGGATCATCTGAAATACTCAATGTATTGTATTTCTCAGCTCTGCAGAAAAATATGTTTAAAGATGAGAGACAAAAGATTTCCGTGAAATTTTCCAATAGGAACAGGTTTAGAAACAGTGGGTGAGTGGGTGAAGAATTGGCAGTTGGGAGACAGCTGATGACCGTTGAAAGTGACAATTTGAAAAAAACTGTAGCTAACTGCTCAGAACCATGGCAGGCTTTCTGAAGGAAAAGATTCCAGACTGAGCCACAGTCAAACACGCAGTAGATTGTAGTGAGGAATGAAAAATTAAACAGAGAAAAGGAGGGAAGAGAGCAAAAAAAAAGGGACTAAAGATAAAAACATTGCACACAGGAGGAAAGTAGAAACTAATAGATAGAAAATCATGGATAGGATACCCAACCCCAGAGAGCAGCCATTGGCTAAAGTTAGAAAAGAAACTGCAGGAACTTAGGGAGAAATGATGTAGGGATTGTAGGGTTGCCAAGTCTGAGAAACTCACCGGCGGGGGAGCCTCGCCGGTCTCCGGGAGCCGTTGTGGGATGTGCGCGTCGACCACTTTGGGGGCGTGGCCTGGATCGTCGGAGGGAAAACCATAGAGTTTTCCCTCTGACGATCCGGGTCACGCCCCCAACGTGATTGACGTGGTTGCATCACCTACGCTTCGGGGGGGGGGGGGGAGTTCCCTCTGGGGCCCGACTCTGCGGCGGCGGAAATCGGGCCTCCAAAGCGGGGGTTTACCCACCCACACTTGGCAGCCCTAAGGGATTGTCTCCTAACCTCTCTAGGTTTCCACAAGGACAAAATGAGAAGGAAAGAACAAAGCATGTTGCCCTGAACTTCATGAAGGAAAGGAAGGATTTAAAAATGTTAATGGTGAATGTGAATGCACAATTAGAAATTCTGTGAAGGAATAATGGTTGCCAGCCACACCTTCACAGAAGAAAGCGAACACCTAGCAAATTAGGAGGGAAAGTTTGCATTGAAAGAAAGCGCATTCACATATCACCCCTCCAAAGGAAATAACATAGAACGCAAATCTCCAAACAAGAAAACCAACTCTCCAACATTCAATTAACGTTTAATTACCGGACACCAATATTGGTCCAAGAAAGAATCAAGATAGTGTGAAAATAAACTGAGGGAGGGGGGCCTCATGTATGTTTCTAAAGCAGAGTACAAAGATATTCTCGAAGTAAAATAACAGTAGCAATATGGTGAGGCAGAAGCCTGAATGGCAAAAACATGTTCTAAAAAGAGGGGTGGGAGGACCTTTAAGCAAAGCTTAAAATTTGGAATACTGTGTACAGTTCTGGTCACTGCACCTCAAAAATGATATTATAGCCTTGGGAAAAGTGCAGAAAAGGGCAACTAAAATGATTAAGGGGGTGGAATACCTTCCCTCTGAAGAAAGGTTAAAGAGTTTAGGGCTCCTTAACTTGGAGAAACAACGAGTGAGAGTTGACCTGATAGAGGTTTACAAAATTATGCATGGGATAGAGAAGGTAGAGAAAGAAGTACTTTTCTCCCTTTCTCACAATACAAGAACTCGTGGGCATTCAATGAAATTAATGGCCCCGTTCACACGGAGCGTTTGCCGCGCTAAAGATACGGATGATAGGCGGATTTTCCAGGCGTGATCACACCGCAACATCTGCGGTGCACCCGTGGCTAACCCGTGGCTTCTTGCCGAAGATACAGAGTAAAAAACTAGTACATACGATGTGCTAGTTTCCGGGAAACGCGGGGCAAGGGTGGGCATCTGATCGTGTTTCCGCTGGAATCCCGTGGCATCCGGTGCCCGGCCATGTCCCGTCGCAAACAGGATGTGTTTTTTTTAAGTCTCCACAGGATGCGCACAAACGTCCACCAGCACATGCGCATACTGTGATGAGGGGAAAAAATTCCCATTTGCCACGGAAGTGGTGCCTAGCGATTGCCAGTGTGATTGTGCCACGCCGCTTCTTTGCCGCGCTGCAGGATAGCTGTGTGATCGGCACCTAACGGCATACCCACGGGACCTCCACGGGACATGTGATCGGGCTGCCGCGCATTACTTTGCTCCAGGGCAAACAGCCACACTTCCCCCCCGCATTTTCCGGCCCGTGTGACTGGGGCCAATGAGCAGTAGGTTTAGAACATATCAAAGGAAGTACTTCTTCACCCAAAGGTTAATTAACACGTGAAATGAACTGCCACAGGGGGTGGCGGCAGCTACAAGCATGGACAGCTTCAAGAGATGAATGGATAAACATAGGGAGCAGATAGGGTTGCCAGCCTCCAGGTGGGACCTGGAGATCTCCCACTTTTACGACAGATCTCCAGCTGACAGAGATCAGCTTCCCTGGAGAAAACGGCTGCTTTGAAGGGTGGACTCTATGGTATTGTAACCTGCTGAGGCCCCTCCCCTCCCCAAACCCCACCCTCTCCTGGCTCCACCCCCAAAGTCTCTAGGTATTTTCCAACCCAGACCTGGCGACCCTAAGAGCAGAGGTCCATCAGTGGCTATTAGCCACCAAGTATAGATGGAACACTATATCTGGGGCAGTGATGCACTGTATGCTTGGTGCTTGGGGAGCAACACTGGGAGGGCTTCTGGAGTCTGGCTCCACTGGTCAACCTCCTGATGGCACCTGGTTTTTTGGCCACTGTGTGACACAGAGTGTTGGACTGGATGGGCCACTGGCCTGATCCAACATGGCTTCTCTTATGTTCTTAGGTTTATGTTCCAAGCTGTTTTCATAACTGAAAGGACCCACTGGCCCCACTGGTGGACCTCTTGATGGCACTGGTATTTCTGGCCACTGTGTGATACAGAGTGTTGGGCTGGATGGGCCTTTGGCCTGATCCAACATTGGCGTCTCTTATGTTCTTATGTTCACAAAGAAGCAGGAAGGGTAGTGGGGGAAATCACGCTCACACAGAAGTCTCTATTAACAGTCCAAAGGGGGAGGTTGAGTGGAATTGTGTGGGAACATAAAACGTGGGGAGGTGAGGGCTTTCCTTCTAAAGCACACAGAGCAAAACAATGAAACAGTGCCGTGCTACCAACAGTAACAAAAGATAATCTACCGTACAAAATTCCTGTAGAGCTGAGGGTAACTAAGGGAGCACAGGTGGCATCTATCCAGAACTTATGTTTTTTTAAAAAGAGGGAAAGTGCTAAAAGTCAAGAAGTGGTATCCAAGACATTTGCATGCAACAAACTGTAACCAAGTAGTACAGTAGAAGCACTGTAAAGAAATCAGATTTATGACAGAAAAGGAAACAAGGAAAAACGCTGAAGAGGTATATGCTTACTGGTTAGAGAACAAAAACAAACAAACATGTGCCTTTGCCTTGACCTATTCAAGTGCCCACAGCCACCAGAATGTCAAAGAAATAATCCATTTTGATAAAGGCAGTTTGTTGTCTCTCATTTGCATGCAACAAACTGTAACCAAGTAGTACAGTAGAAGCACTGTAAAGAAATCAGATTTATGACAGAAAAGGAAACAAGGAAAAACGCTGAAGAGGTATATGCTTACTGGTTAGAGAACAAAAACAAACAAACATGTGCTTTTGCCTTGACATATTCAAGTGCCTAGAGCCACCAGAATGTTAAAGAAATAATCCATCTTGATAAAGGCAGTTTGTCATGTCTCGGTCAATAGTGCTCAGACACGTATTTGAGGTGTGTAAAAGTGGTGTTGTTACATTCTGTGATGACAGGGCTGCTAACTTCTAGGGAGGGCTGGAGATCCCCTGGAATGACAACCGATGTCCAGACTACATAAATCACTTATTTATTTATTATTTATTTATTCATAACATCTATTCCACTTCTCCTGGATAAAATGGCTGCTTGGGAAGGCGGGCCGCATGGCCTTATACCCTACCAAGGGTCCCTCCCCTCCCGAAACTCCACCCTCCCAGACTCCGCCCTCAAATCGCCAGACAGTCCCAAACCCAGGGCTGGCGGCTTTGTGTGATGATGTCACAGTGGAAAGGCCTTTGTCCAAAATCACTTCACAAAAGTAAACCTCACTTTTGACACCAGTTTACTAGAGAACGTTCGCCAGCATAAAAACACATTTTCTTTCGCATCTGCAGGAGTCCATTTCTACCTGGATATGGAGTATATTGATTTCAAATACAGTGAATGGTGTTATCATAACACGGCATACTTAAAATCCTAAGGAAAAGCCTGTGGAATCCTAATCGATGTTTAATTAAAAAAAAAAATCTATTTAACTTTATAGTAGAAAAAGAGGACATTATAATAACAAAAAACTGTAAAATAATCAAACCATGCAGGTTTACAGAGGTACCCACTTGCTATACAGCTAATAGTAAAGTAATCTCAGAAGATGACAGCTAACTAGAGCCTTATATATCGACTTCATCCCCAATAGCATCCGTGTGTCCTCTTCACTGTGGGTGCTTTTTTTTAATGTCAAGTCATAGCTGATTTACAGCTGATTTCAAGGCAAGAGGTATTCAGAGGTGGTCTCCCATTGCCTGCCTCTGCATCATAAGCCTGATATTCCTTGGTGGTCTCCTATCCAAATACTAACCAAGACTGACCCTGCCATTTTCCACAATGGGGTTCCAAAGTGGCTTAAGCTGTTCTTCACTCCTTTATTTTATGCTCACAACAACCCCATAAGGGAGATTAGGCTGAGAGTCACCCAAGGTCACCCAGCGAGCTTCCATGGCAGAGTAGAGATTCTAACTTGGCTCTCCCAGGTCCTAGTCTGACAATCTAATCACTACTACATCATGCTGGCTTGCATTTCATTGCGAGCGCATATCGGCAGGCTTGAAATTATCATCTCCTCAACACATTTCATTTCTTTGTGATCTGTTCTGCTGACACCATCATTTTGTCAGAATGCAGTGTAGTGGTAGAGGTCTAGGTCTCTACACAACCAGGTGTTAAAACCAAAGAGAGCAGTTCCTAGGAGTGAGGGATTCTTCCTTACATTTGGCTACTTCAGTGTGAAGTTGGATTCCAGACGGAGGCTGTCACGGCTCAGGTGGGGTGTCACCTGACGCTGCCACCACTCTGGATTTAGGTTCCCTTGAGAAGGCCCAGAGCACCCTCCCAAGACCTTCAGTCCTCCCTTTAGGCCTAATAACAGGTGTGAGGACCAGGCAGAGTAAAACAAAGAAAAGGTTTATTTTATAGGAAGTCAAACAACAAGGTGCAGAATAATAACAGTAAGTGGGTAAAAAGAAAAGAAATCAAATGCCCTAACGCGTCTAAATTTACTTTCCCTAGCTCACTATCTCAAGTGGCCTTACACTACTCACCCCTCCCTCAGGATGAGGGTTTTTTCCCCTGTAGCAGCCTTCTTTCTGGCTCTGCCCTCTGGAAGAAAGAACAGCTCTTCCTGCTGCTCCAGAACTTTTATTCCCAGCCCTCCTCTTTTCCTATTGGTCCATTTTGGCTCCAAAACCTCCCAGGGGCTTCTGGGAATTGTAGTCCCAGCCTCACCTACTGCTTGCCAGGCTCTCTGGGCCTAGTAGGCCTCTGGTGGCACACCCCAGATCATGACAGAGGAACAGACCGATTCACACAAACATATGTTTAACATACCTGTGCCCAGACGGAAATGGTAACACAGGGCTTTTTTTGTAGAAAAAGGTCCAGCAGGAACTCATTAGCATAATAGGCCACACCCAACCGCATACACTAATTAGCATATTAGGCCACACCCCTGACCGCACCGCTCATTAACATATTAAGCTACATTCCCATGTTACCAGAAGTGTGGTTATCCAGCCACACCCACCTTTTGCTTCTTATTCTGTTTACCTTGTTTGCGGTCAAAACCCAGGGCTTTTTTGTAGCAGGAACTCCTTTGCATGCTAGGCCACACACCCATAATGTAGCCAATCCTAATGAGTTCCTGCTGTTGGGTGTGCCCTATTATGCTAATGAGTTCCTGCTGGGTGTGGCCAACTTGGGAGCCAGCCGGAACTCCGTTCCTCATTCCTGCCCAAAAATAGCCCTGGTAACACTCATCTACACTCAAAGCTCTATGAAATACATGTCTGATGGCACTTTAGAGACAAAATACAAAATACAGAGCTCTGCCACTTGGCTCTTTTTCCATACCACTGAACAAAACTGATGGGGAATGAGGTACATCACAAAAGGTCCATGCCTACCGTTTTCTTCCAGGTACGCCAGGAGGATACAGCTGGATTCAGTCCCTTCCATTGCGTAGTCAAGGGCAATGTTGCCATTCACGTCCTGCAGCAGCACATTGGCTCCGGCCTACAAGCAAGAAACACATTGGTGTGTCTGGCTCTGTACCAAGTTAGGAGTACTTCACGGTAGATGCAACAACTGCGGGCTAACACATCACAGAGAATGCAGCACTTCCCATGTATAATTTGATTATGTGGCCTGTTTTATTCACACGCTGCAGGAGGAGCAGCCTAGAAGGAGCCAGTGCAGGCATACAGGCATCCCTCTTCCTAATTCCTGCAACAACATAACCGATTGACACTAGCTGGACAGGCAAAGGGAAAGGCAGACACAGAGCTTCGTTCCCGTTCTTTAAGTCCAGTCTGCACTGATCCAGCTAGTCTAGCTGGAGGCATCCCAACAAACTCCCTGGTCCTGGTACATCTTCAAGATCTGCTATGCTTAACATTCCACAGGTGTAAGCTCTACAAGCATAAAGGTGAAACTTGGGTGTGTTTGGGTACATCAGTGGAGAAGCAGGACATAGTTGGCATTCTAAGTCCCCTCAGCCCTAACGGTGGCATTAAAGTCGTGAAATTCTAACACTCCCATGGAACAAAGAGAAAAGCACAAAATGACTGCCTACTCCCATGCTCTGTTCACCTTCACAGTTTCATAGAACACAGAAGTCAGAGAGGAGGAGGAGGAGACGAAGAAGACGGAGCAGGAAGAGGCAGAGCAGGAGGAGAAGAAGACAAAGAAGACAATGAAGTTGATGAAGACAAAGATGAAGGAGAAGGAGGAGAAGGAGAAGGATAAGAAAATGACAAAGAAGATGAAGATGATGGAGGAGGAAGAGGAGAAGGAGGAGGAGAAGATGACAAAGATGGAGGGGGGGAGGAGGAGGAGGAGGAGAAGAGCTGGATTTATACCCTGCTGTTCACTCAGAGTCTCAGACCGGCATACAAACTCCCTTCCCCTCCCCACAACAGACACCTTGTGAGGCGGGTGGGGCTGAGAGAGCTCTGACAGAAACTGCCCTGTGAGGTCGGCTCCCCATTAGCAACCTTACATGCAGAGAGCTCTGAGAGAACTGTGGCTGACCAAAGGTCACCCAGGGGGCTGCATGTGGAACAGTCGGGAATCAAACCTGGTTCTCCAGATGAGAATCCGCCATTCCTTTTTTTTTTCTCTTTAAAATCCCCCTCCGCCATTCCTTTTTGTTTTCTTTAAAATCCCCCAAGGGATATTTTTATTTTTGCAATAAACTACAAAACTACAAAGAAAATATTAGGGAGGGAACTACATCTAGGGATAAAAAATGGATAACCACACTATACTAAAACCACAAGAGGAGGAGATCTTATCCCTGTTAGTGTAAGTGTTAATACTATAAGTGTTAGTATCACAATATACTTGTAGAGTTCTTGTTTATCTCAGCTTCAATGTTTATATGTTAATATGTTAGTTGTTATGAGAGAACTTTCTGATCATCTTCTTGTTCTTCGCTTCAAAAGGCTATTATCCGAGTCCTTCTGCCTTTACTTCGGATTTCTGTCTCTAAAGTCATAT